TGTATAGACAGGTGTGTGGCTTTCCTAATCACGTCCAATCAGTATAATCAAACACCGCTGGACTCAAATGAAGGTGTAGAACCATCTCAGGGATGATCAGATGAAATGGACAGAGCCTAAGTTAAATATATGAGTGTCACAGCGAAGGGTCTGAATACTTATGACCATGTGATATTTCAGTTTTTCTTTTTTAATAAATCTGCAAAAATGTCAAAAATTCTGTGTTTTTCTGTCAATATGGGGTGCTGTGTGTACATTAATGAGGAAAAAAATGAACTTAAATGATTTTAGCATATGGCTGCAATATAACAAAGAGTGAAAAATTTAAGGGGTTCTGAATACTTTCCGTACCCACTGTATATCTGATTTTATGCCCAAGTTCACTTATTTGATAGCAGAGGAGGACTTCTGCCATTGCCCTCATCCATCTCAAAGTAGCTTTTTTTTGTTTTCTATTAGGGCTGGACCCAGTTATTCAACCATTTAGGTATTCTTTCATTGGATAGGTCATCGGTTTTTAATTTTGGTATTTGAATATTCAAGAAAGCAAGAAATTTCTACGCAGTCTGAGTCTGACGAAGAAAAAAAACAGAACACAATGGAGACAGCTTGGTCTGCTAGCTGATACAGATCAGATATTCAAAATCTAAATGGTCACTTTCCTGCCTGAAAAAATCTCAAAACTTAATAAATTAGCATAAGGCCAATCCTAGGATGAAATATTCAAAGTTCCCAGATCAATAAATCATAAGCAAAAAATAGTTGAGGCACAAATGATGCCTCTTTGCTGCAGTAAAGCAGACAGAAAATGGGCTACAACTAAATGTCAATCAAAACAAGTTTTGAGGAAAATAATCTGCGCAGTCCCTGTGAGATGATTGCACAGGGACTATATACAATCTGCAACACTGAAAAGGGATACTGCAAAAATTTGACACATTTTTCCAAACTACAGCGCTTGCACCCCCTTGGATCGTTTACCCTTTTTATTGATTTTTATAAATCAATCATGGTCAATATAATTTGGCTTTTTGGATAAAAAAAATTACAAACACACCTCTTTAATGGGGCACAGTAATGTTAATAAAATAAAAGTATGTAATGTGAAATAAGTGATTGCATAAATTTTCACCCCCTTCAAGTCAGTATTTAGTAGATGCAGCTTTGGCTGCAGTCACAGCACTGAGTGTGTGGATGGGTTTCAGTGTGTCATATGCTTAGAGCTTTGCTCCTTGTTACTGTCAGCTAGTTTGTCCTGTCCCAGCAGGACACATCACACAGCACTGTCAGTCAGATCAGCACAGGTTGCAATGTGCTTTTGATGGAAAGTTGTTGACAGGATGTTACAAAGTCACTCTGAAGGATATGGCATATTGAATATAAGGGCCTCAAATTATAAACTGGTGTGACATTGACAGTGATATGAGTGCTGCAGTTGGTAACATGCCAGATTTTCAAAATAAAAGACCCCAATTGTAATTTAAGGTCACATGACAGCCCCAAAACATGCCAGATTTTCAAAATAAAAAACCTTATTAGTTGCACGAAGTTACCAGGCACTGCAGTGCAGATGATTTTCAAAATAAAAGCCTGCAGTTACTTACAGGAAGCGATCTGATGCTCTGAAATATGGCGGATGTTCAAAGTAAAAGCCCAGGATTGTAACTTAAGTTTACATAAAGGCCTGGTAGTGTGGATAGTGACTTAAAGTGCATGGTTTACATACTCATTTTGCACATGCATAATTGCACACACTCTGCATGATATTATGTTCTTGTTCTATTTTTATTTGCCTCCTTCACTTGCTGCTTTAAAGTGCCTTAGATTTGTGTTACTGCCTATTTAGATTTGTGTTATTGCTCATCTACTTTATATTTCACTTGTATTGTGAGGCATTCGGGTGGACAGCAAAGTAAGAATTTCATTGTACAGGGAAACACGTTTCCTAACTGTGCATATGACAAACACTTTGACCTTTGGTAAACTTTATTTTGACAAATGTATCTTTTTTTTTTTTTAATTTAATTTACACTATTTTATCCCTACTCCTCACTGTTTCAGCGATGCATTTGAGCTCTCAGCTCTTCAGCTTTTCTTTACATCATCCATAATTATTCAGCATTGCATCTCAGCCTTCAGCTGTGGATTTCAGGAAATGCCTTTGTCTAGTTGGAAATACTGCTGGGTAGTTTGTAAATTTCCAATCGGCGGTCAATAAAGTCTTATGGTTGGTTATACTGTATTTTGTTTTAATCATCTGATTCTGAAAACTAACTAAAGTTATCAACAACATTGGGAGCAGTAAAAAGCACAAAATTTGCCTCTGAAGTGTAATAAAAAAAAAAAAAGAAGTAGCAGAAAATGGAAATACTCAAGTAAACATCAAATACCTGAAAAATGTAAATGGTCTTATGCGTATATAGGGCTTTCTATGCAAAGAATCACACTCAAAGTGCTTTATACTATTTAGCCCATTTACCCACTCACAAACACACATGCTCACACACAACATGCTGTATTTTCATTCCTTGTGGGGACTTTACATTGACTTACATTCATTTCCTGTAGACTTATCCTAACCTTATCCATAACCACTACTTGCCTAACACCTGACCCTAACCTCGCCCTAACCTTAAACCATGTTGCCACCCTAAAATTCTGTGATTTCCTTGTCAGTGTGTTAACAGGTTTTGGTCCCCATAATGTAAGTAATAGCAAAGCAAACACACACACACTGGTGATATCACCAGAGGCACCTTGGGATTCAGGGTCTTGCCCAAGGACACCTTGGCATGTACAGTGGAGTAGCCAAAAAGTAAGAAAAGTTATCAAATTAGTCTAGTGGAGTAAAAAGTATAATATTTGAAGTAGCAGAAAGTTAAGTAAATGTACTTAGTTATGTTCCACCACTGAAAAAAGTAATGAAGAAAATGCCAAACAAAGAGAAATAGTAGAAAGATAAATAGAAACTAAAAAAGAGGCAGCGAAAGAACAGTTTCTATTTGATGAAAGAAAGTGAGGTAATCCAAGACTGAGAGAGTGCAAAAAGGCTTGTCCACCATGTTTGGACAAATTAATTTTAATTTTGCTTGAATTAATAATAACTGGGACATATCAGTATTATTAATAATTTGAATATTGGGAAAGTCTGTGATAGACTGGCGACCTGTCCAGGGTGTACCCCGCCTCTCACCCAGTGTCAGCTGGGATTGGCTCCAGCTTCCCTGCAACCTTATTCAGGAATATGCAGTATAGATAATGGATGGATAGATATTGGAAAAGTTCAAATTTGCTCCATGCTGACAGATGGCCTTTTTTTAAATGTGGATTCACAAGTCCAGTAGCTGCAGTGGTCACCTCTGAAGCCTTCTCCAAACCATAAACAACTTCATGCAGCAGATGACACAATAGTTCCAATAACACCTGGCTGAGCTCTTCCAAACATTCATTCCCTCTTTACAACCAGCTCATTAACAATACATTTGTTCTTTCCAATTGATGGTGTGGTCCTTGCTAGTGAGTTCAAAGTACTTTCATGCGCAAATCAAATAGGAATCTGATAAATAGTGACAGATATAAAAGCACTGCTAATCAGCCAGGCGACTTGTATCAATAAAGCTAATAAGAAACCTAAATGCTATATCACGGATATATCAATATTGTTGTACATATAAGGGAAAATGCCAAAATATGCCTGAGGTCATTTACAGTGTTGTCATTACACAGTGTGTTTACCAGAGACTGTAAAAACAAGTCGCTTCTGCTCATTGCCTATCTTGGTGTTTTGAAAAAACAAAAAGAAGGGATCATTTAACTGTGGTTGTGTTAAACGTTGCATTAAAAGCAGCAACACTAAAAGTGCATGCTTTATGTGATAATTAATGAGAATTTCATTACCTCTATCACTGTCATAGAGATAGGCAAACTGCTCCCATTTGTAGTACTCCACTAATGAAACCAGTGGCCCCTTGATGTCTGGCCTCATCTGTAGAACAAACTGATTCATTCCTTCTGCTGGAAAAGAAGGTGTGATGAAAGAGACATGAAGTGTCTCGCAGAAGGATGTGATGGTGTTTACTGACTTCTTGTCATAGAAGCCAAAAATTGCGTAGACACCTCGGGAGAACTGGGAACAAACTAGGAGAAAGAAAGAGAGAGAGAGAGAGCTCAACTAAGCATTAAACAGAAAACATCAAACACTGCTCATCAGTCTATACTCACTAACCCATAATGACAGAGCAAAAAACATGGTTTCAAAAACTTTTTGCAAATGTGTTTAATATCAAATTTTTTATTAATAATGAATAATTTATAAAACTATTCAGACCCTTAATTCAGTAAAGATTTTTATTAATGACCAGAAATGGCAATTTTTCAAAACATGAAGGATCACTGAATACTTTGACTGCCTTCCTCACACCATCTTCAAAAACACTTTACATAGCAAACCTTAATACACACAACACATATCTTAAAGTTTTCCCTATCAGTAACTCCACAGTTTATGTTGATCATCACATTTTTTCTTTTCTCCTTCCTATGTTTTTTCTTCCTTTGGTCTTTTGAGGTCTTACATTTTATGCCATATTTTTGTCACATTTAAATGCATAAAAACTGCATCAAATGCAGCACAAAGATCTATTAACAATAATAAGAGTGAAATTTTGCCACTGTCTGTTTAAGTGTAGTTGTCTGTGTAAGTGGATGTCATTAAAGACCTTAAAGAGCCCATGGCATGCTTTTCCAGCTTTCCATGGCATGTCCACTTCTGGCGCCATGCGGATTGGCAGCGAGGTCCAGCAGCTCTGTCCTCTTTTGTGTTTTCTTGTGTTTTTTTCCCATGCTTTCCATGTTTGCTTTGTGTTATACTTCTTCTGTAGGAGCAGTCCTACTAGGAGTACAACTTTTTATTACATTTTCATTGTGTTTTATATTTTTGTCGCAAGCTCCCGAGTCGGGGGACTCCGGGAGCAGTGGCCCCATTGTTCACTCTCGAGACCAGCAGCTCACCCTCGAGAAGCTGGAGATTCCCACGGAGATACGACGCAAAAGGCGAGGTGAAAGGGCTGGAGTAAAGTGCCGAGAGAGGAAACGGAGGTACAAGCCATGTCTACCATCTATTGTTATGGAAAACGTCCGATCCCTCTCCAACAAGATGGACGAGCTAACGGCGCTAACAAGAGTGGAAAGGGTGTACAGGGAGAGTAGCATTATGGGTTTCACCAAGACCTGGATGAACAAGGACATTTCTGATTCTGTGGTCTCCCTACATGGATTCACACTAGTTCATGCAGATCGAAGTGCAGCAGAGAGCGGTAAGAAGAAAGGGGTGGGTTTAGCTGTGTACATAAATAACAGATGGTGCAATCCCGGACATGTTACTGTTAAGGAAAAATTCTGTAGCAGAGACATTGAACTATCAGCTGTCAGTGCACGGCTGTATTATATTCCCAGGGAGTACTCTCATGTAATTGTGGTGATGGTGTACATAAGTCCCTCCGTGGATGCTACTGCTGCGTGTGAGCGCGTGCAGAGCACCGTGTCTCGGATAAAATTCTGCACCTCATGTATGCAAATGCCAGAAAGGCATACCCCCCCCCCCCCCCTCCCCCCCTCTAGGTCGCTCTGACCACACCTTGTTCACCTACTTCCAGTGTATACTCCAGTGGTGAAAAAGGTGTCACCACAGGTCAGGGTAGTAAAGGTATGGACAGAGGAGGCAATTGAGCAGCTGAGGGACTGTTTTCACACCACAGACTGGGACATCCACTGCAGTCCTCATGGAGAGGATACAGACAGCCTCACACACTGTGTTTCAGATTACATAAACTTCTGTGTGGAAAATACTGTACCATCCAGGAGAGTATGGTATTTTCCTAACAACAAGCTGTGGGTGAGCCCCAAGTTAAAAGAACTGCTAAATGAGAAGAAGAGGGCTTTCCTCTCAGGGGACAAGGAAGAGCTGAGCAGAGTGCAGTGGGAACTAAAGTACATGATCTGGAGGTGCAAGGCTAGCTACAGGAAGAAGCTGGAGCAGAGCATGGAAAATAACAATGTGTGTGAGGTGTGGAGAGGCCTGAAACACATCTTGGGTCATGGTAAAAGTGGAGATGGTCACCAGGTCGCGGGGGACAAGGCCTGGGCAAATGAACTGAACCTGCTTTTTAACAGATTTGACTCTACCAAGTCCTTAGCCCCCACCGTGCCAGCCCCCCGTCTCACCTCTCCAGGTCAGTTGTCTCCTCGCAGCTGCAGTTGCTCACACCTCAGCCAGACCTTGCCCCTCCTCCCACTGTCATGGGGGGTTCTCAACAGCCCACAGCTCCTGAGCAGTCACCGCCCACCCGTCCATTCAGCCTCACAGTGGACCAGGTCAGGAGGGAGTTAAGGAGGATAAAGTACCTACTCTACTCTACTCTTAAGGCCAGGAAGGCCACAGGCCCTGACCACATCAGCCCCAAGGGTCCTCAGGGAGTGTGCAGACCAGCTCAGTGGTCCCCCTGGTCCTGTACATGTTTAATCTGAGTCTTAGCCTGGAGAGAGTTCTGGTTCTGTGGAAGACATCCTGTGTGGTCCCAGTTCCTAAATTAACTCATCCCAAGGAGCCAAACCATTACAGATCTGTTGCTCTGACCTCCCAACTGATGAAGACCATGGAGAGGATTGTCCTCGGCCACCTCCATGCCCAAGTGAGCTCAGCGCTAGACCCGCTGCAGTTCGCATATCGACCTGGCATCGGGGTAGACAACTCTATTATTTACATGCTGCATCGAGCCCTACCTCACCTGGAGTCCCCTGGAAGTAGTGTGAGGGTCATGTTCTTTGATTTCTCCAGTGCTTTCAACACAATCCAGCTGTCACTGCTGAGGGGGAAGTTGGAGGGGGCAGGTGTGGACCAACACTTGTCTGAATGGATCATTAACTACCTTACAAACAGACCTCAGTTCATAAGGCTGCGGGACTGTGTGTTGGATGTGGTAGTCTGCAGCACAGGGGCACCCCAGGGGACGGTGCTTTCCCCCTTTCTGTTCACCTTCTACACGTCGGACTTCAAGTACAACTCCCACCAGTGTCATCTACAAAAGTTCTCAGACGACACTGCTATTGTTGGATGTGTATCTGGGGGGGACGAGGGGGAATACAGGGGGGTTGTTACTGACTTTGTGGAGTGGTGGGAGAAAAATCACCTGGTCCTGAACACCAGCAAGACAAAAGAGATGGTGATTGACCCCCGGTGGAAATCACCAGCACTCACGCTGGTGAGCTTTCAGGGCTCAGATATTGAGATTGTGGACGCCTTTAAATACCTGGGTGTCCACCTCAACAATAAACTGGATTGGACCAACAACACTGATGCCCTGTACAGGAAGGGCCAGAGCCGCCTCCGCTTGTTGAGGAGACTGAGGTCCTTTGGTGTGCACGGGGCACTCTTTCGGACATTTTATAATTCTGTGATGGCATCTGCAGTTTTTTACGCTGTTGTGGGTTCGGCAGGAGATAGCACGGACAGGGACAGAAAGAGACTAAACAAGCTGGTCAAGAGAGCTGAGTCTGTCCTGGGCTGCCCCCTGGATTCCATCGAGGAGGTGGCGGACAGAAGGATGCTGGTAAAACTAACATCCATCATGCACAACCCCTCCCATCCCCTGCACCACACAGTGGAGGCTTTGAACAGTTCTTTTAGCACGAGACTGTTACATCCCCAGTGCAAGAAGGCACATCACTGCAGGTCACTCCTCCCCACAGCCATCAGACTGTACAACACATCACTGCAGTAATAAACTAGGTGAAATTATGAGGAACTATGCAATAATCTACTGAGGTGCAATATTCAGCATTGTAAATAGGCTCATGTGTAATATCTTGTCCCTGATCTCTCTCCAATAGTGTTACATTGCCCTGCTTTAGGTATTATTGAGTAGTTGCTCAGAGATCCTTATGGCAGAAACACTGGTTTCTCTCCCCCATTGTGGGATTAATGTTGTGAGTAATATTTGATTGTTCTTGATTTCCTGGTTGTTTAGTCTCTACTGCTGTTCCTGATTCTCTCCAGTGCTGCTCTGCCCTGTTTTTAGGTGCCTTTGATTTGCTTATTTGTGCTGTGTAAAATGTAACATTCTACACTTGTGTGTATAGGTTCTAATGCTTTGTTGCCTTTATGTAACTGTTTATTTTAAGACTAAGTGTTCTTTGTGTCATTAGCTTTCCAGTTTATTTTAAGACTAAATGTTCTTTGTGTCATTAGCTTTCCGTGTAGCCTTTTGCTTTATGAATTATTCTCAGTCAACGGATAGAGATCCAGGGTCCTGCAACAGTGGTGCAAATGTGTTTTCAATTTGTACACTTTCATGTTCAGTTCTAGAGAGGACTAGTACTTGCAGATTTGCTGGTGGGTTTTTCAGTTGCGTAGATGGATGGGAGTCCTTTATTAATGCTCAAGGGGATGTTCTGGTGTTACAGTTTTACAATCAGATATAAGCGGACTACAAGTAATAACGAAAAACCTTACTGTACTGTACACAATTTTACATAATTGCAGCATGAACTGGCAGTTATACTGTAATGATCCTGATAATGATCTATAAATAAGTTTGGATTTTAAAATAACACTCTTTATTGACTCATTTACTTGATCATTCCTTGTCACAGCTTTCCCTTTGTGTCCTGTCATTTATGTCTCTTATAGGTTATTACATATCACGTTATACCGGACTGGCAAGGAGCAACACTGGTGGAATCAGTTCCACTCTGTTCAAGCAATGTCCGCTGTAATAAAAATGGTATGAAATACGTAATCACAACCAACAAGTCTGATGTGCACATAAGCACAGAGTTTTCTGTGGTAATTTTGCAACAGACCTATTAGAAACTGCAGAGGGAATGGATACCTTTCACCTTCAGGTGCCTATAGTTGGAGACATCAGAAACAAAGGAAAGGCTGTCAGTACAGGCCTCTTGCTGTTCATTAATCTTTCTTCTATCTTGCAGCTGGCATTAATGCTGCAACTAGAATTACCTTCTGTGTGATCTTGTTAGCTGGTTGAAAAAAAACATATACATAAAGTGGAAATAGGCATAATACAAATACAGAGGGGAAACATGAATAAAAGAGGTTTGTGTTAGTTCAAAGAGATTTATGTGCTTTACCCAAATGCAGTGACCAGAACAGTACAGTACACAAGCTGTCAACATGCATTGAATATACTGTGCAACTGACTGTGCAAGAAGCACGCCTTCACACCAATAATGCTGCATGCTACTGGATTGGCATACCACACCCTCTACCACACCTGTCCTCTCACTGGTGCAAACAGCAAGCCACCAAGATACCAAACTGTCATAAGTCAAAGAAATAACCACGGTGCCTCCAAAGATTACCAAAACAGAGCTCCTTGAAGTGCTACTTTCTTAATTAAATCAACAAGATACAACTTATTTTTGCAATTGCTGTAACATTTCATTTGAAAAGTTATCACACAGGAATTCCTGTTTCGTAATTATTCCCCAAACATATACTACAGTATACATCACACTATGCATATTTGTAACAGGTGCAAAGCAAGAGTCTTCTTCTTCTTCTTTCAGGCTGTTCCCATTAGGGGTCGCCACAGCGAATCATCTGTTTCCACCTAACTCTATCCTCGGCATCCTCTACTCTCACCCCAATTAACTTCATGTCCTCTTTTAGCACATCCATATATCTCCTCTTTGGCCTTCCTCTTGACCTCTTGCTGAGTTATGATCACAAGTTTAAATAAATCCTCTTAACTGACAATAATGGTACATTATCTTCTCTTCAGATGACATGGTTTAAGGGGTGGAAGATCAATAGGAAAGAAGGCAATGCATCAGGGACCACGCTACTAGAGGCGCTGGACGCTATCCAGCCCCCCACCCGTCCTACAGACAAACCTCTGCGACTGCCTCTGCAGGATGTCTACAAGATAGGAGGCATGTAATGCACTGATTAAGACAGACAAAATCTAGGCACTGTGGAAGTAGGACATAAACTCTCAAAACGAGGCATATAAAACACCTCAGAGTGTTTATTATATGTCAGAGTGTTTAGCAGAGGGCTTTTTGTATGGGACTGCACCACTTTGTTAATTTTATGCCTATCGCTATAAGTTCTCTACACTGACTTTTTTCCAGGTATTGGAACAGTGCCTGTAGGCCGTGTGGAGACGGGCATACTAAAGCCTGGCATGGTGGTGACCTTCGCCCCTGTCAATGTAACTACTGAGGTGAAGTCTGTGGAGATGCACCATGAGGCACTGACTGAGGCTCTCCCTGGCGACAACGTGGGTTTTAATGTCAAGAACGTGTCCGTCAAAGACATTCGTCGTGGCAATGTGGCGGGCGACAGCAAGAATGATCCACCACAGGAAGCTGCCAACTTCACAGCTCAGGTAGATATTGCAGGGGATCTACTTACAGAAATGAAACATGAGCATGATGAACCACATTCAGCTAAGTCTTACTCTATGCCAGAACAATTTTTTAGCCTTGAGGAATAGTTACTGTTATAAAGCATCAAAATACATTTATACCAAGAAAAGCTATCTTTAAATCTTACATCTACAACTGGGTCATCGCGCTACTGTATATTACAGGTTTGTCAAAGTTTCTGCCACGCAACGGTGTAGATGTCTTGTAACCATACACCGTGGTGACGCAGACTGCAACGACTGATTGGTTACATCACATTTCCTTTCTCATGTCGTCTCTCAGTGGCCAGACAAGCACAGACCACCCCCCAATTCTGCCTCATTCGGTTCAATGATCATACAGACCATCTCCTCCAACTTCTTCTGTCTTATCTGCAGTAATATCAGTAAATTAACTGCTGTTCAACATCTATTAGTGTTAACTCCAACGTGACCTGCTCAGTTTCAGTCAACACTGATAGTAAGTGGCGAAGAAATGCAACAAAGTGGCATAGAAACCCCACTGCCAACTAGTGTTTTGACGGTGTAATTACAGAGTGCACAAGTATAAACGCTCACAACAGTGAGGCCACTTGCATTGCTTATGGCATAGGCTCTGAGTAGATTCAACACAGAACCATAAATCCAGCCTTAGACTGCCACAAAGGGAAGGTGTCACAATCAGACAATCACAGCAGTAACTGCTGAATATGCAAAGATTTGTCTTTGCATTGAACTTTGTTGACAGGACGGAAATAGTTTCGTATTAATAGGCCATACATGTTCTCTTTTTGCTTTGTAGGTGATCATCCTTAATCACCCAGGCCAGATCAGTGCTGGTTATGCTCCTGTGCTGGACTGTCACACTGCTCACATCGCCTGCAAATTTGCTGAACTCAAGGAAAAGATTGATCGTCGCTCTGGCAAGAAGCTGGAAGACAACCCGAAATCCCTCAAGTCCGGAGATGCTGCCATTGTAGACATGATTCCTGGCAAGCCGATGTGCGTTGAGAGCTTCTCGGAGTACCCTCCTCTGGGTAAGTTCAAGTGCAGAGAGGATGTTAAATTTTCACACACTTGCATGTAGCCTTCATCAAAAAGTTTGTGACTCCACCGTAAGTCATGCCATCTGACATGGCTGTTAAAGTGGCAGCTGTTGTTCAGGAGGTAGTGCAGGTTGTTCCCTATCTGTAGGGTCAGCGGTTTGATCTCCGGCTTCTCTAGTCCACATGAAGTGAAGCAAGTTGCTTCAGTGTTATCACCAGTTTATGAATGCTTGTGTGAGCAAATTGGTGAACAGTGTTAAAACACTGAGTATGCTTCAGCACACAGAAAATGCTATGCAAGTATTAGTCTATTTTATCTACAATGGACATATTTTCTCCTCATCTTGCAGGTCGTTTTGCGGTGCGTGACATGCGTCAGACTGTGGCTGTCGGTGTGATTAAGGGTGTGGAGAAGAAGGTCTCCACCACTGGTAAGATTACCAAGTCTGCCCAGAAGGCCCAGAGGAACAAATGAATGTTGTGCTACTCTGCCAACCCCAAGGTCTCCCAAGGCAGGACATCAGTCATCCAACTCCATCCAACAATTGGCTTCTTCAACTTAATAATCAAAGACTGGTTAATCATCACAATGCATCGCAAAAGCATTCGAAGGAAAGAAAAACATGTAGACACATGAGGTGGCACTCCTGACTCCATTTCCGTGGTTAGATTACCATTACGTACAATGTAATATCAAATGGTTTTAAATGTGCACTGTTGCTTTAGTTCATGGCAATACCTTTCTGTGATATTGAGACATTGAAGAATTAGAGGTACTGTAATTTATTACCTCTCTAGATCTCTGGAGTGCAGGTACAGGTCTCTTTACGTGGTATACGTTGTCTTGCTTTTAGTGTTTGTTTGCAACTACATGGTGCTCTGTAGGAGCCTATGGAAAGAAGTTCAAACTATGTTCTTCTGAGTAGTAGACTGTAGAAGTTAGTGATTTGTTGTGTTTAAGCTTTAAAAAGCACTTAAAACAAATGGTCCAAACTTCCCTCTTTTGAGAGACTGATTAGACCACAAATGGATTCTTAAAGCACTTTGATTGGCATTTTGCTGAGTTTGCACTTGAACTGAGGAAGTTTAAATTGGCATAAGCTACTGCACCTTATAACATGGCATGAGCCTTTTTGCAACATTAAACATGTTCCAACCAAAATGATTTTGTCATTTTGCTGTGACTGAAGCAATATGGCAGCAGATGCCTTAAACTTGTCAATCCTATAAAATGAATTTCATAAAGTAGTTCCTTACAGTACACACTTTTCTCCACAAGATGTAGCCAACAGCTCAAGGCCAGTCTGCCAAGAGGGTGTGCTATCTTTTTCCTCAGTTAGAATAGGCATTTTTGTAGAATTACATTTACAGAAGATCTTGAAAAGACTTTTCTTCAGTTTTACTTGTTTAGTTGTATTACTTTAATCTCTCTGTATTGTTAAAATTGAGATTAAATAACCATATATTAAAACATGTTACAAAATACACATGCTTTCAAAGGGTGTCCTAATTTTTTCACATGACTGTACCTTCCTTCTCTCCATCATGTCCACCAGCTCTCTACCTTTCCCTGTCATTGTGCCAACGTTAAAAGTCCCTATTCTCAGACCTATACTCCTGCCTTTCCTCTTCTCTGTCTACGACTCCTTCTACCTCCTCTCCTTCGACCAACAGTAATCCAATTTCTGCCAGCACCCTGTAGGTCAACAGCACTGGTGGCGGTCATTGTTAACCCGGGCCTCGACCGATCCGGTATGGAATTCACACTGATGATTCGCATGTTTAAATTTGGCATGTTTTTATGCCGGATGCCCTTCTTAACGCAACCCTCTTTGTTTATCCGGGCTTGGGACCGGCACAGAAGTCACTGGCTTGCAACCCCTGTGGCTAGATTAGGTGCAAAGCAGGAGCATAATGATAAAAAGGTAATGATAAAAGCTCCATGCATTCACTGCTATCACAATACACTGCAATTAAATAAAAGAGCTTTGAACCTCAGGCCAACATTTCATCATGCTCTGATAAAGGCCTGCATGGAGTTGTTGTTCCTCCTGTTTCTACTCTTTGTGCTGCAGTGACTAAACTTGGAGCATAGTATGACTACATTGCCTGAGTTAAAAATAACCAAATCCATTTTACAAACAAATGTATTTGATTTGATTTGAATTGATTTATTCTTTCAAGCATGTAAAGACGGTTGATATGTCAACACACATAATTTTACACATATCCAACGAATGCTAATCCAATATCAATTTGTTTATACCTAGTACATGCTTGAATGGAGTAGGAAGAAGTCAGACTTATCCAGTCCTACCCCATGACATCATCTTACCATCATTGGTTTGCAAGCAGTAAATGATTCACTTCTACCCACACAAGTATTATACTAAAAAAGATTATAACAGT